TCTCTTCTTGTAAAAAAAAAAAAAATTTTACTTGAAATTGTATTTTTTTAGTTAAAATTTTGAATTTGATGGATTGGTTCTGATCGTGGTTGGCATGTCATACCAATACTCAGTATTAATTGGTATATGAAAAATCGCCTCTCTTATTAGAGTGAGGCCATGACTTGACCTTCTCTCTGTCTCACAATCTGCAATGGATCCTTTTCTAGATTTTTGTTCTAGCGGAAAGGGACCCTTAGTGCACAACAATTTGTCCAGGTAACTTCTGCGTCATTGCTTATGTTTTCATTTTATGTGTGATAATTTTCAGATGTGTCATAACGAAAATTAAATGAGACTCATACCTGGTCCTAAATTAATCCCAGTCCAAGCATCACATTTCTTTCAAAATGTTGTTTTCGTCATCAATATAGCGTTTGAAAAGAAAATGCAGCGATAATTAGAGAGAGAAATTTCTTACCCATGCCACTGAAATATGAGACCCACGTAGCAGATTTTTTTTCCCCATCGAAGTACAATACATTTGCCAAATGCTAGATTGTTTCTACCTAACATTCTCCAACTCACTCACAAAGCACATCAACACCAATATATATAGTAGTTATTACTATTACTGTTGTAATTTTCTAGTTCTTTTGCTCCTTCCATGCCTCCAAAGCTGTATTCAGAATATTTGTGGACTGTAAAGCCTGTCTGTTCCATTTATTGATCCACTTACAACATCCCCCAATCTTCGATTTCGGCTCAACCTAGCAGTCTTCTTTTTTTTAAAAAAAAAAAACCATCAAGAGTGGCCCAACATACTAGAGTTGGACTTTAGGTTGGACCAAGAAAATGACATCTAGGGCCTCAGGCCCATTCATAGAGTAGCCTTCTTTGGAGCATTCAATCATCATGAAGATAAAATGGAGGACCAAATTTAATGACCATTATATTTAGAAATTCGACTATCCTAGGCCCTAGCGTATCCGGTCTTCATGGTTTTGACGGATTACTGACTTCTGAGCTCAATTGAAATTTGGCCTTCCACATTGGTCCTAGGTTCTACTGTTATTTATAATCTAATCTTTCAAACTTACTCGTTAATATTGCTCCTAGTAATTGATCCGTCTTAATTTAAGAAACTGTTAGATATAGCGATATAAAATTAATGGTTAGAAGTTAGAAATTAACAATCGCTCTGGATACAATGGCATTAACAACAAGACCAAGGATAAGGTCAGCCGCCATCTAATTAGCTACAACAGTTAGGAAAAAAGACAATTACTTTGGAATTGAGGGCTATAGCTAAGAGTGTATTGTGATGAATGTATCGGGTGGATCAACGCGTCTGTTATATAAACCCAAAAACCTTAACACCTTTAGAAAAATATTTTTATTTTGTTATTTAATTTTTTTTATTTTTTAATAAATAAT